GACCATAAAGTGTTAACTAACACCTTTTATCAAATGGACAAATATTTTTTTTTTCAAATTGTGATACCTGTAGGATGAAGGAAAGTAGCCATAGCCTTTCTGGAGAGCGGTTGATTTGGCATGATGTACCATGATGTTTAAACCAGAGAATGCACACTCCCAACCTCTGGTGGGGATAAGAATTCGTGTTAGCTCTCTGGAGGGCAATTTGGCAGTATGTCCATGCCCTCTGACCTAGCATTTCCATTTCTAGGAATTCATTTTAAAGACATAATTGGGCAAAGGTACAAAGATGCATGTTCATGGTATTCCTTGCATTTTGTTTACAGCTGCATAAAAGAAAGAAAAAAATGGAACTCTGTGAAAGCCCAAACTGGAGAGTAATTAAATAGCTACATTCTTACAAATTAAAATAAGCAATTATTTAAAAGAATGGGATAACTGTGTGGAAATGTAGAAAGATAGCCAAGATAGGAGGAGGAGTATAAAGCAAGTTGCTGAGTATCATATGGAGCGTGTAACAGAGTGTGTTAAATAGCACCTATGTGTGTGCATATAAGTATGTACGGATGGATGTACAAATGCAAAGAGATGCTTACCGGAAAGTTAACGGTAATTAGCTCTGGACGGGGTGACTCCGAGTGGTCTTTATTTCCTTATTATGAAATTCTCTTTGGCTTGAAATTTCTTTCAGTGAGCATATATCATTTTTACAATAATTAGCTATTTTTGAAAGGTGGAATAGAAAACGACAATGGGGAAAAATCCACTATCTAGAACCTGGAATTCAGTCTGAGAACATAATATACAGAATAACGTACCCACTGGGGCGACCATCATGGCGACCTCATAGTATTGAAAATTAATAAACAAGAAGGTTCTGTTGAAATAAATAAAATAGAACTGAATATTATGAATGCAGAAAAATATGCATTCACTTGGAAATAGTCGTCAGTGTAAGGTAAGTGAAACAAAAGGCAACTAAGTAGACATTAGCTTCATATACATTGTAGCTTTGTTCAGACACCTACACCCAGAGCAGGAAAAAAAAGTTCAAAGGGATATATGCCAAAATGTATACTGAGGTCACCTGTGATTATTTTCTTTTTCTTTATTTTCAAATGTTTATATAATGAACAAATATTATTTGCGTACTTTTTTCTGTTGGTTTCAAAGTATTCCTTATAGATTCTTTCAGATATTAAAAAAAAAAAAACAACGGAAGGTAGTTCCAATATTACAAATCTCAGCCCTTTTCTTCCATCATTTATTTTCCACCAAGAGACCCCCTCAAAGGCCCTACAGCTAATATGCAGCGTCCTGTGAAGTGCTGAATGCCACACCAATACAAAACAAGCTTAGGAAACTCAAGGTAGCTATTCTGATTTTGTGTCCTGAGATGGACGAGGTTATAAAACATACTGGCTCAGATTACAGGCTAAGCATGACAAGTCTGTCTGGTACAACCTAACAAAGGAATTTACACAGAATGAGAAATTTACACATTTCATTTCCCAGGGTGGGATGAATTACAGAAGAAAAGAACCCATAGGAGTGCCTGCCACTCTCCTACATGCTTCTGAGATTGTGCCTTACGTGCATTTCTCACGACATGATTTACCTATTACTGTCTTAAACTAAGGTAAACTAACATTTTTAAAAGGTGAAAAGAGGGAGAAGTGAGAAAGAGGGTATTTCCAACACAGTCAAACTTTTTGTAGATTTTCAGGTGAACTGGGAGATGCCAGACCACCCGACCTCCCTCTCTCCCTTCCTCCCTCAAATCATCATGGCTTAATAACAATAGTGTCTCTCTCCCGGGTAATGCAGAGGACACATTTTTCCTGTAGCCTGTCTTCCTGTAAAGTGCAGGAATCCCTGCCCTCTCTGGGTGCCCTTCCTGTTCACTTACATTTCAGATTTCCTCAAAAGGCATTCTACCACTTTAATATTTGAAAAAATGTCAGCTCAACCCCAGACAGCTAATATAAACAAGCTGAAAAGCATACCACCTAAAGTTACAACTGTGGAAAACAAAATTTCTTTTTAAGAAATTCTTTCTCGGAATCTGACTGCCGGTAAGGCTGGAAAGAAGCAGCCCAGTTATTCCAGCTCCCAGGGACTCTATAATTCCTTTGCCTCTGCTGTGCCTTAAATTAGAGGTCTGTGAAACCGAATTATAGTGATCTAGAAAGTTCGTAAGGGTCCTTTGCGTTGAACGTGTTGTTAAATTCTTCAATACTCTGAGGTTGTGTCCACCTTTCACTTTTGCCTCCCATTCCATTTGGTTATAGTATTACAAAGCAGTTTGGTATTGCGAAAAATGTCTTGGCCATTCGAGAATACCATGGCTGAATTAGGCCAATTCCACACTTAAAAGTCCAGGCCAAGGCTCCTATACCGCTTCCGAAGTGATCGTCCACCTCTATCGGTCTTTTTCTTTTTGGACGGGAACCTCACGTTCACACCAGATGCACCTTCCAAAGAGGGCCCAATGCCGGAAACCATGTGGCTAACCAGGAGCCAACCTGAAGAACCACCCGTATGCGATCTACAATGGGCGCTCTCAGAATGGAAGCATGCCAGGCTAATACCTTTCAGTTTCCCAACTCAGAAACTTGCTCTGCTGGGACAGAGATATCTTAGGAGTGAGCCAAAAAGAAAAAAGAAAAGAAAGAAAGGGAAGAGTAACCTGATTTACTTTGGACCCTAAGGTCCAAAGATAAGATCACCATAATACCACCTTCTTCATGAAATCTTCCTATCTCCCATAGAGATCACTGCCATCTCTAAACTCCAACTGGGCCATTGCTTTTCACTATCTATGCAATTACCTTGTAGTATCATGATTTGCATACGTGCTTTCTAAATGGTAAGTTCCTTGAAGGAAACAAGTACATTTTAAATATTTTTATATGCCTCCAAATCCTGTGCAATACATATATATATATATATATATATATATATATATATTTATATATTACACACACATACGTGAATACATACACACACACACACACACACACACACACATTTATACATACATTAACTGAACTGAATGAATGAGTACATACCACATACAAAGTAACTAGATGCCAGCTCCTTAGTGCATCAAAGCATGGCATGCCCATTCTAAGCTGTTATTTCTCTGCTCAGGAGATTGTAGGTTTTCCTTCTATTAAGGAACCTCTGTCCTTCATAATGCCAAATCCTAGGTTCTTCAGCACTCTGAGCTTTCCAGATTCCCACTCTCCCCTAATGGTCAAGGAAAACACAGCCCTACTTCGAACTCTTATGAACATAGATCACTTCCTTCTCGGTCTGAGATGTAGGATTCCCATCAGGTAGAATTAAAAGGCGGTTCAACAACTCCAAAAACATGGCAGAAAGCTCACAAGACACTTTAATTTCACCAGGTCTTCCCCATGCATGTGGTGTCCGTGGTAGCCTCACTCACCTGTACCTAACTCACCTCCTCCTCCCATACATTCTCTTATGGCATATGCTTTCTCTACGGTGAAGAAAGATTTGCTCTGAAACAAGTGACTTAGGGTCCTAGTGGCACCTGCCAGCACCCTCTCGGCTCTCTGATGCCATGTCAGGAATTTTTTTTTAATCCCCTCCCCAATATAACATTAAGCCTGCAAAATACAACTGCATTAAAAAAAATTAAGAAAAAGAAAAAAAATTAAAAACAACCATAACCCTGAATTTCTGACCTTTTATAGCTGACTAAATAGATGCAGTTACACACTCAAAAGATTTCATTGATTTTCAGTGAAACGGCGCAGTCCCCCCACGTTGGTGTAATGCTTAAAAGTACAGTTTTCCTCCCCATATTTTCCCCTGAGATGCAAAGCATCTCTCAAATGGGGAGACATAAAACATGTATGTCCTCACTGCTGCTTCTAAATACTGCGAGCCAATAAGCAATTGGTGCACGGTGCAAAATCTCAGAAGAGAAAGACCTTCTTGTCTGGGTTTTTTTTTTTTTTTTTTTTTTTTTTTTTTTTGTAACATGCTATCATTCACACCTCACCTTTACTTCCTTTAAAAATCAAAAGTTGCTTAATGTTCAAAGCGGTATCAATGGAAATTTAGGTAAAAGCTGGCACCGCAACGGTTTATTCCCAAAGGAATATAAGATTACATTAATTTCCTACTAGCTTAACTCAACTTTTACCTTTCATCTTCACCTACAGACTTTTTAAAAGTTTGTATTCCTGTTGCACATAAAATTACTTACAATGTGCGTGCATACTAAAGAATTTTACAATTATATAAAGCACTGCACATTTAGACGCTACCAACCTGCTCTATCTCTCCTGACTGTGCAAAAGGCAAAAAGAGCTCAGTAATCCTAGCAGAAGAATGCAAATAACGTCAATGCACAGCTGAACTGCAAGCCCTGCCTTACAGGAACTCTCTGTGTCTGCAAAAAAAAGACACATACTAAACAGGAAATGCAACTGAGCTGTGGAAAACCTCAAACTTAAAAATGCAATCGCCAGGCGAAAATTGCATCCATGCATTCATAAATGCATGCACAACCCTTTGCATTTTTGCAAGTAATGCAAATAGGCTCTTACCTTTCGACTGAGACATTTTCCCCTTTCCTTTGATGGGGGAGGGGAGCACAAAAGACTTTGCCTTGCTTCTCTTCTGTAGCTAGTTTTGCAACAAAGATGCAAGCTGCAGGCGTGCAATCTTCATGCAAGTGGAGTTTCTCTTGACCGATGCAGCAGATGGACTTTCAGGGAATCAAGATGGAAATGCACACCTTGCAAAACAGACTGGAAAGTGATTTTTCCCCCAGTTGCAACGTTAGGGAAGGCTGTGCTGCAGCTACATGATGGGCCAGGGCTGGCAGCTAAAAGCTCCAAACTTGGAACTGAGTATCTTAGTGCGCAGACGTCCTTCCTGCGAAGGGCGCGGGGGCCGCTGGGTAATGTAGTTCCGAGCAGAGTCCACGGGGCTCTGATTTAAGGAAACGTGGTCGCTTGGGTCGCCGAGCGAGATGACTGGGTGCGCCCAGATAAACAAGTCAGACACGCAGTCGGTAGTAAGGGATGGGCCCAAAACGGCAGGGCCAAGGCGAGGGAGCATTTTTGTTACCGAAAAGCCCCTGAAGCAATAATTGAAGAACATTAGGTTAGCTGAAAAGCATTTGGCTCGCTGAGAAGGTCGGCTTGGGTGTTTTGTGTTTGCAGGGCAGCACCTGTTGTAATGTCCCTGTAGACGCCTGTAGACGTTTTACCCCCACACCTCCATTTTTTAAACATTTTTCTCGCATGGAGAATTGGTTGGTGATTTGGCCGGCTAGAGGTAAGATTACCTTTGCAACTGCAGAGAAGATATAAAAGTTGTATTAAGTAAGAAATGATCCAGGTCGGTTACTTTCAAGGAACCTGAAAATCAGTGGGGGTGGGCGGGAATGGGAGGGGACAGTTCTCATTTCTTGAAGGGTTAAAGAGGAAGTTCTGCCTTTTATGTGTCACAACTGACTTTATCAAAGTTAAAATGTTTAGATGCTTTTTCTCACCTGGTGGAGGAGGAAAGTCCCCGGTCTACCGGAGAAAGTGGGTGGTAGTCTAAAATTAACCAAACCAGATATCCTGAATTTATTCAACAAAATTAACAAGTATCCGTTGAGCTCCTGGGATGGGCCAGGCACCTTTCTGGGGCCTTGGGTCATCCCTTTGTCCTGTATTGCTCATGGCTAGGGGGTGTGGTAGAGCCACCCCTCTCCCAAGGAAGCCAGAGATGCACAGAATGATTCCATGCAAAGAAGGGAACTGAGGGGAGGGCACATGGGCTGAAGTGAGCCCAGGCATCTACTTCCCGGAGTAGACCAGACTCAGAAGTGTGCTTTCAACACGGAGAGGGAGAAGTTGAGGAGTTAAGGCTGCTGAGGTGTGAACCACAGGCAATAAAGAGAGGAGGACAGCCTATTCAGGAGACACTAAGGATACTACGTTGCCTCGTACCATAAAACCTTGGTTTGCCAACATAATTCGTTTTAGAAACGTGCTCGTAGTCCAAAGCGCTTGTATATCAAAGCGAATTTCAAGAACCATTGGCTCAGTTGTGATCACGTGACATCCAGCCTCGCTTACTTCTGCTATCGCAAGACACTGCTTGTTTTTCAGTTACAATTTATTAGAAATGTTTGCTCATCTGGCAAACACTTCGCAAAACAAGTTGCTCTCAATCCGGACGTTGACTGGATACAAAAATGGAGGTGGACAGAATTTACAGGTGAGGACCGTCCTGGATGGTAAAGGCAGGCCTAGAGGTTTGGACTTTATCTGACAGATACTTGGGAGGCTGTGAAAGGGTTTTAAACAGGGGCGTAACCGAATGAAAGCATTGTTTAAGAAGCATTGTTTAAATTTGCGCTCCGCAATCGCTGTTGGGTTGAAACTGGGAGAGTCTAGAGATAGGCCGGATCAGTAGTGGGAAATAAACAAGGGTACTTTGAGAGAGGATTCAGCTAGATTTGATGAGTGCTAATGAAAACTATTGCAGCTGTGTTCGGAATTCTAGGAAGCCAGGGCCTTCTGAGTAATGAATGAATCAGAGAGAAGGCCACCATGTTTAAGCTACAAGCCAGCAAATCAACTCTTAAAATACGCAATAGGTGATGCAACGAACGTTAGTTTCCCTAAGTTGATTTCCTGTCCTGACATTATTGAGAATTCGTCCAGGTCACTTCATGTTCCTATTAGCTCCTGTCCCTAAGACAAAGGGATCTCTGTCCCATGAGCAACAGCAGATTCAGGGACTTACTAGCTCACTATCATTCATTGTCCTTCTAGGCGAATCCTTACTGTCCCTTCCTCTCTTTCTTGCACACATAATTTGGGCACCGCGTGGCACTGGCATTTTTGCCTCCTAAGTCTCCTGTAACCAAGAGGCATGTGAGTGTGCAGATCTATTTCGATGCATCCAGTTCACCTTTGCAATCATGAATGGAGTACCTGCCACGTGCCAGGCCCTGGGACAGCTACTGGACAGAGAGCAGCCCATAAACTGGCTGAGCCACATGTTTAAAAATGCCAAAACGGGGGCGGCCGGCTGGCTCAGTTGGTAGATCACGCGGCTCTTGATCTCGGGGTGGTGAGTTCACGCCCTACATTGGACTTCACTTCGGAAATAAATAACTGACTTTACTTAGAAATAAATAAATAAAAACTAATTAATTTTTTAAAATAGCAAAATGTATCATCTTTTTTTTCTTTCTGGGGAAACATACATTTTGAATTTCCGTGGGGAACTCAGCCTGTCTTTGAAGGCTTCGATTCCAGAAGGAAAAGTTCTTCTTGCCTGGGTGGTCCAAGCTTTCCTCTGCCCATAGTCCTGGGTGGCGGAAGACGTGGTACGACGTCTGTACGGTCGTGGGCCTTTCCTCTTTTCGCCGGTCTGTGGCAGTGCTCCTAGGAAGGGAATCCCTCTCATGGCGGCATGAGGAAGTGAAAGCAAAATCTGGCACGTTGTTCGTTTATTAGACAGTGCATTAGCTGTTTATCTCGAGGTGGTCTCTACTTGCGATGTTTCTAAAATAGCAAATGTGTTGCCTTCTCCCCCGGCTTCTAGTTACCATCACGACAACGGCAAACGCCTTGACGTCGTATAATTGGCTCCTTGAGACCTGTCCCCTGCTTACCTGCTGGCTTCATTTCTCCGGGCGCCCCCCCCCCACCAAATGTTGATGCTATAGTCAGAAGCCAGGTTCGTCTGTCCTTTCTTTAGAGACACTGATCCCTCTGCCTGGAAAGCCTTTTTTCCATTCGTGACCTAGCTTGAAAAATCAGCTTAGCTGGCATTTCCTTTGGGTCCCTTCTGTGACCCATCACCCGATGACCGCCCTCAGTGTGAAGGAGGTGCATTCGCTGATTCTGTAGCTCCAAGTACGCACCTCTTTCCTGATCCTCATCGCAGGGCTGACAGGTGTTCATGTACATCTTGTCTCCTCCAAGAGCCTGAACTCCCGATGATCAGTGACTTATCTCTGCATTCCCAGTGCCGTGTATCTAGCATATAATAGGCACTCAAAGGCATACTCAAATAATGAATGCAATAAATTGGGGAAGGACTTGTCATCATGGACAGCCTGGAATAACCAGATTCCAAGGATAATAACACCTGCGGGGGGTACTGGAACACCTGGGAAATGCCAAATGCTGTCAGGCCAGAGGTGTGATTCTTGGAAGGATGCCCCTAGGCTAAGTCAAACTGGCTCTGAAAGAATTATTCTAGAAGAATACGCAGGGTGGAGAAAGTGGTGGGGATAGGGTGTCTCAACCGGAGGTGATTTTGCCCCCACCCCCATCCCCACCGTCTCCCCACTGCCCAGAGACATTGGGCAATGCCTGGAGAGACATTTTTGGTTGTTACAACCAGGGGTTGAGGGTGGCATCTAGTGGGTAGAGATCAGGGATGCTGGTAGTCCTACTACAAAGCACAGGAAGCCTCTCGCAACCAAGAATTATCCAGTCCAAACGTCAGTTAGGGCTGAGTTTGAGAAATGCTGTTTTATAGTTAACACCTTGAGAAGTTACTGACGTTCTATTTTTAAGCTAATTTAAAGTTAATGAGATTTGGGGCACCTGGGGGGCTCAGTTGGTTGAGCGTCTGACTTCGATCAGGTCATGATCTCATGGTTTGTGGGTTCGAGCCCCGCATCAGGCTCTGTGCTGACTGCTTGCTCAGAGCCTAGACCCTGCTTCAGATTCTGTGTGTCCTTCTCTCTCTGCCCCTCCCCCGCTCACGCTTTGTCTCACTCTGTTTCTCAAAAATAAATAAATGTAAAAAAAAAAATTAATAAATAAAGTTAATGAGATTTGGTAAGAGTAACTTCTGATGTGAGGAAAACACTAGAATCTAAGAGATGTGGGTTCTAGTCCTGGATGTAGAAAAAGGTAGCTGTGCTTCCTAAGGCAAGTCACTTTACCTTTCTGGACCTCTTCTTGTTCCAGTAACATACAGAGATTCCGACTAAATTCTAGTTCTAATATCCCGTGACTGTAAACCCAGTTCAGTGTCTGATTAAGACCACCAAAGATTTAAAGGAAGAGAAGTGTGGCCACACATTCTATTTTTTTTTTTTTTTTTACATTGGAATTAAGTGTTCGTGATCCTCTGTGCCCGCAAGCCAACCAATGACTGTCATGACAATATCCCTTAAGAGATGAGATAAGAAATATTCAAATTACAGTTTGAGATATTGCCTTACAGGTAGCAATTCTCATGTGTATGTGACATTTATTAATGTTTTTCAACAGTGTCTACTAGATGTCAAACATGGGAAAGAAGGTGTCACAGTTAAACTCTGACTATCCACTTTCCTTGATTCTAGAAAATTACAGGATAAATAGGTACATTAAAGATAATGACGCATACTGGGGAGAAACATGTGGCAGATTAGTTTAAGGAACCGGGTGATGTTCTGCACAAGCAACTGTACAATAGCTTGAAGAACAAATTTTCTTTTTACTGCATTAATGTGTCGCACTGAATTATGATTATGGTAGAAATTTTAGAAATCCTTGGGGCGCCTGGGTGGCGCAGTCGGTTAAGCGTCCGACTTCAGCCGGGTCACGATCTCACGGTCCGTGAGTTCGAGCCCCGCGTCACGCTCTGGGCTGATGGCTCAGAGCCTGGAGCCTGTTTCCGACTCTGTGTCTCCCTCTCTCTCTGCCCCTCCCCCGTTCATGCTCTGTCTCTCTCTGTCCCAAAAATAAACGTTGAAAAAAAAAATTAAAAAGTAAAAACGAAAATAAAAACAAAACCGAGATACAATTTAATGGCACTGTATAGAAAACTCATCAAGGGGGCGCCTGGGTGGCGCAGTCGGTTAAGCGTCCGACTTCAGCCAGGTCACGATCTCGCGGTCCGTGAGTTCGAGCCAGATTCAGCTGACTTCCGGTGCCCTCCCCAATATGGCGCAGCCGTTTCTGTTCAGCCTTATATTCTGCGATTCTTTTGTCTAAGCAATCCGGCCAAAACAGGATTATTCTTATTCTGGCCCCCACCTAAAGTCTTCACTTTTCTAAAGTCTACCCTTCATTCAGGGTCCAAGGTCACCTCCTCTAGGAAGTTGTCCTTGATCACATCCCTCTGACTTAAAAAGAACATCCTCCCCTTTACATTCTGATAGCACCTGTTAGCTCCTGTGGGCCATAAATCCAATACCATCTTGCAGTAATATTACTTAAGTACAAACCTTATCTCTTCTGCTAAATCTTTGGTTCCCTGAGCGTTCCTAACCTTCTCCCTTGGACGGACCTTACTTGTCTGTATTTGGCCCTTATTCTAAGCTTGGG